GTGGACCTCCCTCCAAGAACCTCCTCTTCCCCTTGGCTGTGTTTCAGGTGGTCTGCCTTCGTCTTCACTTCCATTTTTCATGGTGAGGCCCAGCTCTTCCTCCCATTTGTAGCGCATCCCGTGAAGTCTCGAGCGCTGAGGCAGGGGCTGCGGGTGTACTATGAGCGCATCAGCGGGAGTTCTCGCTTTGTGCTTAACCAGTCAGTCGAGTAGACAAAGAGTGTGACAGCCCCTCGTACAACAATCTGCCCTTCTTCCTGGGGTCCGTCTGGGCACAGAGCCCAGTAGGGCAGCCACCAGTGAAGGCAGCCAGTAAGCTCTGCGGCCGCCGCAGGCAGCACAGTGGAGCAGCGGCTCACTGAAGACCCGGTGAGTACAACGCGGCAGGAAAGAAGAATTAGGAGCCCTTTACAACCCAGTCAGGGACGACGGCCAGAGCACACCCTGAACAACAAGGAAGGTGCAGGAATGGCGGATCGTGGCCACACAGAGGCTGGTGGCCAGCCGGGGGCTCAGGCTCAGGAGAAGAGGCGCATTTTCAACATCAAATTTGAAAGGGGTACTTTCAAAAAGGTACTCCGTGGTACCTTATGAATTTTATTTGAATGCTTTTATCTACTTAGAAAAATAAAAATAAAATCAATTAACACTGATCCCGATAAGGCACCCTCCCTCCTAGGAAAGCTCTTGGCACGAAGCATCGCCCTGCCTACGTGGCTGCCTGAAAGGCAGGCGCAAGATGCTCTGTCTCATTCATTTCCCGGCACTTAAAGGGCACTTGCCACGGGCCCTGGAGCTACCCACAGATTCCACAAAAGACACTGATCCACGAAATCACAGTTTAACAGGGCTAGCAGACGAAGGAGCAAAGTCATAAACTTAGGATATGGAGAAGGTAGCTTCAAATCTGTCTTGAAAGGATTAATTGTTAAGACCAAAAAGGTCAGGCATGGTGGCTCACACCTGTGATCCCAGCAGTTTGGGAGGCTGAGTGGGAAGATCATCACTTCAGCCCAGGGATTTGAGACCAGCCTGGACAACATAGGGAGACCCTGTCTCTACAAAAAATTTAAAAATTAGATAGGTGTGTTGGCATGTGTCTGTAGTCCTAGCTACTAAGGAGGCTGAGGCAGGAGGATCGCTTGATCCCAAGAGGTGGAGGCTGCAGTGAGCCATTATGGCACCACTGCACTCCAGCCTGGGTGACAGAGTGAGACCCTATCTCAAAAAATAAAACAGAAGGCAAAAAAATTGACGCTGGGTCCCCACTGGCTGTTTGGGGATGGAAAAAATCAAGTTAGATCCTTATCTCATACAAAGGACAAACCGATTCCAGTTGGGATTAAGAGCTGAAGGAAACAAAGTGAAGCCAGTCCTGAAAGAGAAGCAAGCACACACTCTTTACGGTCTTGGTGGGGAAACCCTTCCTCTTCCATACAGAAAGATTCAATTACACATAAACCCCAATCAATTCTCTGTGTTATCCATAAAACTGTCCTGTAAATCTAAATCTATTCTAAGATTTAAGAAAGAACTGAAAAAGTTAAAAAAGAAAAAAAAATCCAGTTCACTGAAAGGGACCGTACATTAAGATTTACAAAGGACAATCTAGATAACCTTTGGAGAAAACGCATTGTAACATAATAAGCAACATGAAGATCCATAGAGTTGATACGAAGATAAATTAACCGATAGGCAAGTGGGTAAGAAATACCAAAAGGTAATTTACAGTAAGAGAAACACAAAAGGCCAATAAATACATGAAAAGATAGTCAATTTCACTGCTGGCAATCGGGGAAATGAAAATTAGAACCACAGGATGACATTTTCCACTCACCAGATTGACTAAAACTCAAAAACAAAACTGAGAATATGCAGCATTAACGAGAATGCAGAAAAACACGCATTTTCATACCCATTTGGTGGTGTTACTAATAGGTCCAGCTTTACATACTTCAGGGTTGCAATTTCACTTCAAGGAATTTATCCCATAGAAACATGTGCACAGATGCCCAAAGCTCATAGAAACAGTCACTGGAAGAATGTCCAGTATTAGTAAGGGAGGACACCACCCCTCATCCTATCTTACGCCCAATTTCTGCCTCAAAGGAAAAGTAGGAGTTTAAAGAAAAGACAGAAATGAAATCAGTAGTCAGACAGCCCAATGCTGCATTCCAGGCCTGGTAGTTAAAAGACTGACCCCGACTTAACCGGTTTATGTTATCTATAGATTCCAGACATTGTATGGAAAAGCACCATGGAAATCCCTGTCCTGTTCTGTTCCATTCTGATTACCAGTGCATGCGGCCCCTGGTCACCCCTGTCCTGTTCTGTTCCATTCTGATTACCAGTGCATGCGGCCCCTGGTCACGTACCCACGGCTTGCTCAATCGATCATGACCTTCTCATGTGGGCCTTGCAGTGAGCCCAGATCGCGCCACGGCACTCCAGCCTGGGCGACAGAGCGAGACTCCGTCTCAAAAAAAAAAAAAAGAGTTGTAAGCCCTTAAAAGGCACAGGAATTACTCACTCAGGGAGCTCGGTTTTTGGAGACGTGAGTTCACCAATGCTCCCAGCTAAATAAAGCCCTTTCCTTCCACAACTTGGTATCTGAGGGGTTCTTGTCTGTGACTCGTCCTGCTACATTACGAGACTATTATGGCACACACACTAGGGGAATACTATGCAGCCGTGAAAAGAGTGAGGTTTACTGTGTGTACGTGTGAGAAAAACAACCACGAACACCATGTCCTGGATGGAGCAAACGAGAAACTGGCTGGATGAGGTGGACGAGGGGGCCTGGCGGCCAGCCTAAGAATTGGCGCCTGGCCCTGCAGGCAATGGGGAGCCTGGCAAGGCAGAGACACGATCATCACAGGAACCCACAGGTATCTACAGAGCAGACAGACTTTGGGGAAGAGGACGAAAGGCCGCTGCCACCCTCCAGGTGAGCCGGTGAGATGAAAGCAGGAAAGGAGGTGACTGATTTGTGTGAGCCAGACACGGTCCTGGCTGCCACAGAGTTGGACTGAGGGCTTAGGATACAGAAGGCAGAAAGGACAGGATTTAGGGATGAAACGGGTAGCAGCTGGGGATGGCAGAAACCTCTAGGGCTGTCATTTCCAGCTGGCACAGCAGAGTGGATGGGCGGTCTGGGGAGAACAGGGAATCAGGAGGCAGGTCGGCCTCTCCATCCCAAGAAGAAACCCCAGGCTGCCGGGCTGCAGGCAGCCTCCCCGACGGAGGCCCCGGAGGCCTCTGACAGAGCTTCTAGAAGTCCTAAAACCTGCCCTCTCCCAACTGTGCACAGCCTGCCTCTCTGCCAGCCAGATTCCCAGAAAAGAGGGAAGGAGATGGGACTCTCTGCCCAGCACTGAAGCGGAGCCCAGGACATGAAGGTAACTTAGTCAACAAGTAGAGCCTCTACGAGGCTGGGCCCTGGGGTGGGAGGCAATTCAAACTCCAAGGCGGCTCCCAGAGACCACCCTCAAGAACACTGCAGGGGAAGGGAAGAGGTCCCAGTGGAGGGTAACACAGAGGTGCCTGCCAAAGGTGAGGGGTGGGAAGGGAGTCATTCTAGGCAGGAGGAGTTGCAAAGGGACAGGCCCAGAAAGAGAAGGGAAGATGGAGAGAGAAGAGGGAGGCGAGTGGATGGGAGTGGTCTGCTCCGGGAAGGGCAGGCAGTTCCGTAAGACTGTGGCCACAAGTGGGAGAAGGAAGGTGGAGAGAGAAGCAGGGCCAGATCCAGCCAGTGGGCCTCATCTCCTCCTTGGCTGAGTTTGTTTACCCACTGCATTCATTCAAAAAGAATTTACAGGCGGGCACGGTGGCTCATGCCTGTAATCCCAACACTTTGGGAGGCCGAGGCGGGCAGATCACGAGGTCAGGAGATCGAGACCATCCTAACATGGTGAAACCCCATCTCTACTAAAATACAAAAAATTAGCCAGGCGTGGTGGCGGGCGCCTGTAGTCCCAGCTACTCGGGAGGCTGAGGCAGGCGGGAAGGGCAGGCAGTTCCGTAAGACTGTGGCCACAAGTGGGAGAAGGAAGGTGGAGAGAGAAGCAGGGCCAGATCCAGCCAGTGGGCCTCATCTCCTCCTTGGCTGAGTTTGTTTACCCACTGCATTCATTCAAAAAGAATTTACAGGCGGGCACGGTGGCTCATGCCTGTAATCCCAACACTTTGGGAGGCCGAGGCGGGCAGATCACGAGGTCAGGAGATCGAGACCATCCTAACATGGTGAAACCCCATCTCTACTAAAATACAAAAAATTAGCCAGGCGTGGTGGCGGGCGCCTGTAGTCCCAGCTACTCGGGAGGCTGAGGCAGGAGAATGGCGTGAACCCAGAAGGTGGAGCTTGCAGTGAGCCGAGATAGCGCCACCATACTCCAGGCTGGGTGACAGAGTGAGACTGTCTCAAGAAAAAAAAAAAAAAAGAATTTACAGAGCGCTAAACAGCACGCTAGGCACTGTTCTAGATCCGGGGCAATATGGCAGTGGCCCTGACAAAGGAGCTGTTCTGGTAGAGGTGACTTCGAGGAAAGCCACAGCCATAAAGAAGGAAACAGAGAGTAACATCATTTCTGGCAGGGGTAAATGCTAGGCAGAAAAGAAAACAGAAGGATGAATCGAGAGTGTGCAAGTGGGAATGGGGTGACCAGGGGACACAATTCAGCTGAGGTCTGAATGACAAGGAGGAGCTGAAGACTGGGGAGGGAGCCCCAAAGAAAGGAGAGTGGGCTCCCCCCCCCTTCCCGCAGGCAGGAGCTAACTGCACAAGGCAATTGTTTTGCTAATAAGACCACGTTAAGAAAATTAGGCTTTTTTTTTCATTTGTAAATAACTCATTAGTGAGTTATATTTTTAGTTCTCCCTCCTGGGGATTAGCAATTGGGCGGGGGAAGTTTGTTGGGTCTGATGGGGAGGACTCTGGATTCCTGCAAGAACCTGAAAAGATGCATGTGAGAGGGAGGTGGCAGCAGGGGAGCGGCACCCACCTGCTCCGGGAGGTCATGTCCGGGAAGAACTGCACGAGGGCCAGCAGGTTGTGGTGGTGGTCAGACACCCAGCTCAGGGTGCAGCAGAGTTCCTGGAGCTGCAGGAGAAGGGCACCCCATGGGCTGCAGGGGGACGCTGCCTTCCCACTGCTCTCGCCTCCCAGCCCGCACAGGGGAGTAAGTGGGCAGTCACAGAGACCAGGGGCATTCCGATGACCTCCAGGCAATGCCATCCCCACCCAGGGCACTCTAGGGGCCACCCTGGTCCCTAGTGATGAAGTTGTGTGAGGACCAGGCTCTGGGCGTCTGGTACCTTCCCCGGCCACTCCCGGATGTTCTCCAGGAGCAAGAGCAGAAGCTGCTGGAGGTCAACCTTGGGCAGCAGGCGGAGCCCCATGTCCAGGCCGGCGCGGCACAGCAGCTCTATCAGTCCCACGAGGTTCTCGTCAGTGTAGGCCCCCGGCTGGGCCTGGGCACACAGCGCCAGAAACTAGAGAGGAAGAAGAGGGCAAGGGTGGCCAGGCTGTGGGGGAACGGGAGAGGACTTCGAGGACCAGTTCCCTGGGAGACACGTAGGCAGGAGGGATGGTACTGTGAGCCCCGCGGTCATGCCGGGTAGGAGCTCAGGAAACAGTGAGGCCAGGACTCGAAGCCCCGGCAGGGTCCTGGGTGGCAGGCACAAGCGTGGAGAGTGTGTTTGTCAGAGGTGTTTGAACCAGAGCGACTCCATCTTGAATAGGGGCTGAGTAAAATAAGGCTAAGACCTACTGGGCTGCACTCCCAGGAGGTGAGGTATTCTTACAGGATGAGAGAGGAGGTTGGCGGAAAGAGGCTGGCCAGATACCACCAAAACCAAGATGATGACTAGAGTGACCCCTGGTCGGCCTCACTGCTCATTACATGCTAACAACGCATTAGCATGCTCAAAGATACTCCCACCCGCACCGTGACAGTTGACACATGCCATGGCAACGTCAGGAAGTCACCCTATGCGGTCTAAAAAGGGGAGGAACCCTCGGTTCTGGGAACTGCCCATCCCTTTCCTGGAAAACTCATAATCCACCCCTTATTTAGCATGTAACCAAGAAATAGCCATAAAAATACTATACCAGCAGCCCTTGGTATAGTAGCTGCTCTGCCTATGAAGTAGCCATTCTTCATTCTTTTGCTTTTTTTTGAGACAGAGTCTTGCTCTGTCACCCAGAGTGGGGTACAGTGGCTGGATCTTGGCTCACTACAACCTCTGCTTCCCGGGTTCCAGCAATTCTCCTGCCTCAGCTTCCCAAATAGCTGGGATTACAGGCACACGCCACCACGCCCGACTAATTTTGGTATTTTTAGTAGAGATGGAGTTTTGCCACGTTGGCCAGGCTGATCTTGAACTCTGAACCACAGGCGATCCACCCGCGTTGGCTCCCAAAGCGCTAAGATTACAGGCATGAGCCACCATACCCAGCCTATTCACTTACTTTTTAAATAAACTTGCTTTCACTTTACTCTATGGATTTGCTTCCAATTCTTTTTATTTTTGAGATAGAGTTTCTCTCTTGTTGCCCAGGCTAGAGGGCAGTGGCGCGATCTCAGCTCACTGCAACCTCCACCTCCCGGTTTCAAGCGATTCTCCTGCCTCAGCCTCCATACCTGGCTGATTTTTGTATTTTTTGTAGAGACAGGGTTTTGCCATGTTAGCCAGGCTGGTCTCGAACTCCTGACTTCAAGAGATCCTGTCTCTTATACACATCTCCATACCTGGCTGATTTTTGTATTTTTTGTAGAGACAGGGTTTTGCCATGTTAGCCAGGCTGGTCTTCAACTCCTGACCTCAGGTGATCCACCCGCCTCAGCCTCCCAAAGTGCTGGCATTACAGGCATGAGCCACTGCGTCCGTTTTTTTTTTTTTTTTTTTTTGAGATGGAGTCTCACTGTGTCGCCCAGGCTGGAGTGCAGTGGTGCCATCTCAGCTCACTACAACCTCTGCCTTCCAAGGTCAAGCAATTCTCGTCTCAGCCTCTTGAGCAGACCAGACTACAGGTGTCCACCATCACGCTCTGCTAACTTTTTTGTAATTTTAGTAGAGATGGGGTTTCACCATGTTGGCAAGGTGGGTCTTGAACTCCTGACCTCAGGTGATCCACCCGCCTCAGCCTCCCAAAGTGCTGGCATTACAGGCATGAGCCACTGCGTCCGTTTTTTTTTTTTTTTTTTTTTGAGATGGAGTCTCACTGTGTCGCCCAGGCTGGAGTGCAGTGGCCGGATCTCAGCTCACTGCAAGCTCCACCTCCTGGGTTTACGCCATTCTCCTTTCTCAGCCTCCCGAGTAGCTGGGACTACAGGCGCCCGCCACCTTGCCCGGCTAGTTTTTTGTATTTTTTAGTAGAGACGGGGTTTCACTGTGTTAGCCAGGATGGTCTCGATCTCCTGACGTCGTGATCCGCCCATCTCGGCCTCCCAAAGTGCTGGGATTACAGGCTTGAGCCACCGTGCCCGGCCCCCAATTCTTTCTTGTGCAAGATCCAAGAACCCTCTCTTGGAGCCTATATCAGGACCCGTTTCCCATAACACGGTTTCTGTAGCATCCGGCCCACAGCCAGCACAGTGCCTGCCGTGGTGCTGAGCTCGCCAGAGATTCTCCGTGACGCTCCCCAAATTAAGCTGCTGAATGGGTCTGAACTACGAGCTGACAGTGCCCTGGGTGAGGCAGGCAGCTCGACTCACCTTGTAGATGTGGCCCAGGCTGATGTCCAAGGCCACCTCTTGGGGAGCGTCCTGCTCCTTGTTCTCACTCAGGCCAGCCTCGCCTGGAAGCACCCTGTGGTAAGACAACAACAGTGACGACGGGAAACCCAGGACAGGGCACGGGAGCAGGAGTGAGGCGCAAAGTGGGGCACTGCTGCCCTGAGGCTGCTCATCTGCTGGGCACGGCAAATCCCTCCACACAGATCATCTCACGTTGTTTCTGAGGGCCAGGAATCCAGGGGCAGCTCCGTTAGGTGGTCCTGGCTCGGGGGTCTCTCAGATGTTGCCCTCAAGATGTTGGGTGGTGCTGCGGTCACCTGAGCCTGACTGGGCTGGAGGGCCTTCCTCCCGGCTCACTTACCTGGTCACTGATCCGCAGCGGTTTCTCCACATGGCCACTGGTTCTCCAAAGCCAGCGGTGAGAAAGAGAGGGAGCGAGATGATGCCCAGGACAGAGCCGCAGCCCTCCATAACCTAACCTTGAAAGTGACATCCCATCTCTTCTGCTGGTCACACAGGCCGAACCTGACTTGGTGGAAGAGGAGGCTACAGAACCGTGTGATCTCTAGGAGCAGGGGATGCATGTGGGGCGCTCCTTGGGGACTAGTTCCCACATGTTACCACTCAGGTGAGGCCTCCAGCTTTAGTTTTCCAGCACTTGGAAACCAGAAAATCACACTTCCAATCCCCGCAAAGTCCTCGAGTCCTCCCTGGGTCCGCTCCGCAAGGCTGACCCTGCATACACTGCAAAGTGCTCCACGTGGTAGCTGTCACGGGGCTGCCTCACAAGACAGCAAGTATGGCGGAAATCAGAATAGAAACGGCCCTGGAAACCTCCTCCAAAGGTGTCACCCTGAGCTGATGTGCTGTCTGCTGACAAGCCCAGCATGGCGTTTTCCCGAGTGCTGGACCCGATCTGGCTGAGCACCAGGTGATGTAAGAGGCCGGGGCTGGGAAAAGAAAAATCCCCCCGCTTTAAAGACCAAGCCACACACAGGGTGGTGAGATGCTTACTTAGGGGGGCCTCGGTGGGTCTTACTGGATGGCAGTCTCATCACCCTTCCCACAAGCCTCCCTCCCAGGCACGCGCTCACAGGATGACAGCCTGGGCACGATCACCTTCACCCTTTCTGTCGCCAAATGAATACTGTTGATTTCAAGTATGTTAAATGCGCTTAGGATGAGGGTCCCCTCTGCTGTCTCACCCTCTTCTCCACTCTTAAAAAAATGGCTTAAGGTTCCTGCTAACAGTGGCAAATGAAGATACTGACGACAACCACACTGCCAATGACAGCAGGCTCCAGGCAGGCCCCTGGCACACGGGAGGAAGAGCGCTGTCCTACAGCTCCTGTGAAGCCTCTGCTCTTCTCCACTTGGCGCTGAGCTCAGAAGGGAAGGAGGAGATCTGTCTCTGAGGTACCAGGAAGTTGGTGCCAACAGACCAGACTTGGTGGGGGAGTGGAGACGGGGGCGGGGCTCAGTCCTTCTCCCAGATTTCAGCATTTATTAGGGCCACAACTGCATGGGTGAGGCTGGCATTTGCACATCTGGGCACAGGCTGCGCCAGTACGTGAAGGGGAGCTCTGGTTCGTACCAGCCTTGAGCGTGCAACACGTGCACCCATAGGCGGGTGTGTTTTCAGGTTTGTCAGCATGGGCAGGCGGCGTCGACGACAAACATCTGCAGGAGAGAGATGCTGCCAAGGGGAGAAGGAACACTGAGAAGTGTGAGGTGGTGACACGTGTTCTCTGAGCTGGAGAGGGGAGTGTGGCTGTGGGGAGAGCCCTGTCCTCCTTGGAAAGAAATGTCAGCCTTCCCAAGTGAAGGCCTGGCTGGCCAGAGTTCCGGAACTTGGTGGACCCACAGGCTCATGGGCAATATAATGGGGTCCTCTAATCCGTGCCCTTCGGAGGAATGATCTGACTGAACTGCTGGCATCTGCGGCTGCCGTTCTCAGATGCAGCATCGGACGATCCCCGATCCGCTGCTGGCAAGGGGCTGCCAGCAAGGGGTCACAGCCAGGGAATTAAACGGCCTGTTATCCCTGCTCCCTTCTTGGGCTCAGCAGGTTAGAGTGAGCTGAGGGTCCCACCATTGGACTCTATGAGCAAAGCAGCTTCATCGGTCCCACGCCTGGCTCCAGGGTCTGTGGCCAGCAACCAGGAACTGGGTTTCTGTCTCAGAGACACTGTTCAATACTCATTAACCTTATGAGGGACACGTCATTGACCTCTACCCAGGTCTCTGCATCTTCCCCCAAAAGTTGAAAACATAATGAAGTTACCATCTGTATGGCATTCTGACGTTCTCAGAGGGAAGACGGCAGGTACAGTGTATGAGAACCACTGCCGCCTTAACCAAGAGCTGCCTCCTCAACCAGCTGCCCCCGCGCTTGATAGGACGCCCGGTCAACGTGTTAACTATCATGTATTTCCCTCTTTGGCCTCTGCACCAGGCTGCTCCTTTGAAAACCAAATGGCTGGCAGGGCGCGGTGGCTCATGCCTGTAATCCCAGCACTTTGGGAGACCAAGGCAGGCAGATCACCTGAGGTCAGGAGTTCGAGACCAGCCTGGCTGACATGGTGAAACCACATCTCTACTAAAAATAAAAAAAAACAAAAATTAGCAGGCATGGTAGCATGCACCTGTAATCCCAGGTACTCAGGAGGCTGAGGCAGGAGAATTGCTTTAACCCAGAGGCGGAGGTTGCAGTGAGCTGAGATTGTACCACCGCACTACAGCTTGGGCAACAAGAGTGAAACTCTGTCTCAAAGAAAAAGAAAAAGAAAAAGAAAACCAAGTGGCCAAGGCTTCTGGCACCAGGAAGCAGCTCCAGGCTTTTGGTCTTCAGCGGCCAGGCCTGTGCATAACTTCAGCTGGGCTCAGCAGCAGGAACAGCCTCGGAGAACCATGCACAGCTACCTAAGGACCTCCCTTGTGCTCCTGGGGGAGATGGGGGCACCTGGCAAGGCCCATTCTGTGTAGCAACGTGGGCACGAGCCCCTCTGAGGATGCTGACGAGCTCCCCCACCACCCTCTTCCCATTCATATCCACGCTCCATCCTTTCCCCGAAACGTCCTCCCATGTCCCCTCCCCAGTCTCATGACTGAGCAGAGGGCCACTGTTTCCAACAAGGTGGATGCCAGGGGATCCGCACGGCCTAGCTGTGGAAGGACCACATCTTTCTGAACGGAAATCCAGAAGCACTAGATAGGAGATGGTGATGGCCTTTAAGGAAATCCGAGATCAGGAAGACATGGTGGAAGACTTGTCTCAGAGCAACTAGAGACGCAGCCCAGTCACGGTGGGGCCACGCACAGATGTCTGAGTCCCTCATTTTGAGCCCTGGCCATTGTGAGGTGCTGTGGGTAGCCCAGGAGAAGCCCCAGAGGCATCTGTTCCCCTGGATGGAGGCATCCCTGGAAGTCAGCAGAAAAGAGACGCCTGGGCGGAGCCAGCTCGCCCAAGACAGCCTCTGAGTTGGTGAGGAGCCAGGACAAGCAGGACCACAGGGAGAAGATGGCCTGCCGTGGGGTTTCTCTTGTGGCCCATGCATCCATGAAGGATGCCGTGCCCTTGGGGAGGAGATGCTAGAACCTCCTTGATGCTTCCTGAATACCCCAGAGGGGTCACCCTCCAATCCATGACACAAGCAGCAGTCCAGGAAACCTACCCAGGCATTTTCGCCATCCTCCTATCCTGAGGAAGACACAGGGCAGGAGCTCCAAGCAGGAAAGCCTTTCCAGCCCTGAGGGGCTTGGCAGGTGGTCCCCAGCCTGCTCCCAGAGCCAGGGGCAGGGAATTCACCCCTGTGGCTGTCAGTCAGGTCCTTGAGGGCAGTTCTGAATCCTCTGATGGGAAATGGTGTCACCAGCCAGGCCAACGTTCTGGGGCCCAGAGGTAGATATTACGGTGTGTCTGGGACACATGAGGCCCTGGCAGCTCCCCGGGCCCTGATCTAGGACAACACAGCCCTGCTTTCCTCCCACACAAAGCTGAGCTGCGTCTGAGAAAGCTGAAGTCTGCGCAGCGGGGTTTGTGTTCCCAAGTACTTAAGAAGAGGTGTTTAAAGGGCCACAGTTCTCATCCCTCCTGCCCACTCTGCCTCTGGAGACAACAGACTTGTCCCGCAGCATGAAGGGCAGTCAAATCCTGGGAGAACCGGGAGGCAGTGGGGGAAGCAGCTCTTTGCAGAGTGGAGCAAGACCCGGTGGCTACGTCTCCAGTACCGCCTCCCACTCCCAGGAGGACACAGGGACACTCATCACAGCAGTCACAAGTGGCTCTTCTGGACTCCACGGCCCCTGCCTGCCTCAGACGTTCGTTTGTTTTTCTGAGTGTAATTCTCTCCCCCGCTCATCCAAGACGGTGTGCGACTGCAGCTCTGTGCCAGGAGGAGGCAAGCGGCTCATTACACCAGACATGGAGCTGCGAGCTCCGGGAGGGAAAGGGGCAGGAGCGCGGCAGGCTGGCACATGTGTGGGGTATTTATAGCAGAGCTGAGTGCGGTTTGGCTTGGCAGACAATTGCTAAACACAGTCGTGGAACAGGTTCTTAGGAGAGCTCCCACTTTCCATGCAGAGGAACATCTGCCCGCTGAGGCGAGGGAAGGGGAGCCTGGCACCTCCTGGGGCTGAGAGATTGTGAGTGGGAAACACGGGGTGGGGGGCGGAGAGCGTCCTATACGACAGCCCCTCCAGGCTTCAAAACACTCTGTTCCATCTCAAATCACCTTCTCCAAGGGTTCCAGAGAGTCTGGATGTGCTAAAATGTGCAGAACAAGATGATGATATATAACACTTTTACGACCTTAAGCTAAGTCACCATCCGCCCACCAGAGCTACTTATGCATCACGTGGCGCTCCTCCCCGCAGGCAGGGACCAGGCAAAGGCAAATGATCATGACTGTCCACCAGCAAGCCAGCCCGGGGCTCAACGGGGGCACTCACAACACAAATCTGAGGGTTGTGGGAACGTAAAAGCATGCCCTGCTGTTCCCAAGTGGATACCAGGTAAGGGGCCAAACAAGTGGCTTGAAGAGACTCAAGGGACTGGGATGTGTCTGCAAGGATATTACCCAGGCTTTGAAGTCTGGGTTTCACCAGAGAGGAGCAGGCAGCAGAGGCTGAGTCAGAAAGTGCCAAAAACAGGCTCGTCCATCCCGGGGGCTTCCCATCTCCCCGAGGCTGGGAGTAAGGAAATTCCTTCTTGGTGTGATACTCAGATCCACAGGTGGGGGTGTGTGGTTGTTCTGTAATTCCCTACACGTGGGAAAGAGCCTGAGTCCAGCACCTTCCAAACAAACAAGACAACAGGTGGCTGGGTGTGGGGTGGCTCATACCTGTAACCTCAGCACTTTGGGAGGCCGAAGCAGAAGGATTCCTTGAGCCTAAGAGTTCAAGACCAGCCTGGACAACATATGGAGACCCCCCAACCTCTACACAAAATTAAAAAATTAGCCAGGCGTGGTGGTGTGTGCCTGTAGTGGCAGCTACTCAGGAGGCTGAGGTGGGAGGATCACTTGAGCCTGGGAGGTGGAGGCTGCAGTGAGCTATGATTGTACCACTGTATTCCAGTCTGGGTGAGAGAGAGACGCTGTCTCTTAAAAAGAATGAAAGAAAAAGGCAGTGAGGAAGGAGTAGTACTCACCTGCCGCCGTGCCAAAAGGGCCCCAGAGGGTACAGGGCGGGACTGTGGGCACCCAGGCTGTGGAATGCCTCCCTGACCTCTTGCAGTGAGGGGCACCACAGGTGCACGTCTTCACCTGTCAGGCCAAAGGGGACAGAGAGTTAGAGCAGGGAACAGAGGGCAGGGCGCACCGCTCCCACGAAAAGGGCTGGCCGTGACCCCTGGCCGAGGGTAACCAGTTTTTGCCTTCTCTGACACCACAGGTATTATCTGGAGAAATGAAGTGGTGGTTTCCAAGCACTTCCAGAGCTTTGTGAATGTCAATGTTTTCCTGAATGTTCTCTTACCTGGTCTTCAAGGTATGGCTGCACTTGGGACAACTGTTCCCTGACCATCTGGCCATCCACATCAGGCAGTGGTCAGGGTGCTCGGCTGCCCACAGCCAAGTGGCATGAAGAGTCCTGTGCCACAGGCCCCGAGCTACAAGGCTCACTGGACACCAGGTCCACATCCTTAGACTCTGCGGCAAAGCACTGAGGCCGGCACTCAGCCCACTGTGGCCTCTGCAGCACTCTTGCTGCTGCAACATTTAGGTGTCCCCGGTCTGCCATCCCTGCTGGGAGCACACCTCGCCTGCCTCCCACAGCCTGGGGTGTGTCTCCTCAGCAAGTGTGCGCTGTGGGGCCCAGCTTCCCCTGACCGATTTAACCAAACATCCATGATAAAGTCTGACCACATCAGCCAGGTGCAGTGGCTCACACCTGTAATCCGAGCACTTTGGGAGGCCGAGGCAGGCAGATCGCCTGAACTCAAGAGTTCGAGACTAGCCTGGGCAACATAGTGAAACCTGTCTCTATAAAATACAACAGAAATTAGCCGGGCATGACAGCATGTGCCTGTAGTCCCAGGTATTCAGGAGGCTGAGGCAGGATAATTGCTTGAACTCGGAGGTGGAGGTTGTAATGAGCTGAGATTGGGCCACTGCACTCCAGCACGCCAGCCTGGGCGACAGAGTGAGACTCCGTCTCTCCAAAAACAAAAAAAAATCTGACCACATCAACAAACAGGAGGAACCTTACATACTCAGGAGATTTTTTTCTGTCAGACTACTTAAGGACATTCTTACAAGAAGGAGAGTAGAAACATAAAAAAGAATGTGTCCAGGCATCTTCTCTAAGGATGGCTGCCCAAGACCTCCCACCCCACGTGTTCTCTGCACCGTGAGCTCCCACACCGCATCTAGGAGCAGAGCCTACGTTTCCACTCTGCTCTCATTCCTCAACATTATCCTACTTAGCAGTTGACTTGCCTCTCCTTCTGTCTCTCCCCAGTACAACAGGAGTCCCGCAAGGGCAGGGGCCACATCTGTGTTGGTCATCTCTACAGGCCCCATGCCTAAAACCGTGGCCAGTGCGTGGAAGAATTAGAATGAACGAACGGAGAGAATCCAAACCAAATCTGACCAAGTAGTACACAGCTAAGAGGGTACTACGTTCTGAGTGTTTACGTGCCTCCAAAGCGCGTATGTTGAAATTTAATCCCAAGTGTGATAGCATCAAGAGGTGGGGCCTCTGGGAGGAAAATTAGGTCATGAGAATGGAGCTCTCACAAATGGGGTCAGTGTCCTAGTAAAGAAAGGAGGTCTGAGGGAGCTGGTTGCCCCTTTTACCCCTCTGCCACGTGAGGAATTGGCCAGAAGACCTCATCTCCGGGGCAGAGAGCAGCTCTCACCAGACGCCAAATTTGCTGGTGCCTTGATCTTGGACTTCCCGGCCTCCAGAACTGTAAGCGATCCATTTCCCAGTTTATCAATTACCCAGTCTAAGGTGCTTTGTCATGGCAGCTCAAATGGACCAAGAGAGGGAGACTGACAAGTCCTAAGATGGGCTGGCAGTATCCAGGAGGCAGATGTTAAATTTGACAGCGGGTAGGGCATCAGAATCAAGAACCTGGAAGCTGGGTGAGGGACACATCAGAAGCACATACTTGAGCCTTCACCATTCAGGAGGGTGAGCGCCCCGCCCTGAGGACCCACTTCAGCACACTCCACTGTGTTCAGGAACTAGCCAGGTGTGGAAGGTAAAGAGGCAAGCTAGAGGAGACCTGAACCTCAAGGAGCTCTCACGGTCTAGGAGGAACAGAAGCCAGATCAAGAAATACACGTGAATGTCTTTATGCAAAAATCAAAGCAGGTAAAAGGTACAGAGCCTTCTCCGAGGGGCGAGTGTTACCTGGGGGTGGTGAGGGGACAAGACAAGGAACATGAAATGTGGAAGGTGGAATGCGAACGTCTCTTTTCTGACAGAGACAGAAAAGACGGAGGCAGGGCAGCAAAAAGCAGCATGGCATGTCCAGACGGAGGCAGAGCAGGCACAGAGCAGGGACGGCTGCAGCGGGTGGGGACTTCTGCAAGGACCACTGCAAGAACCAGTTTCCTAAGCTCCCCGGAAAGTGCTGGCAGCAGTCCTGCCCAGCTGCAGTGCTGGCAGACGGCAGGATGGCAGACAGAGGGTCTCTGAAACCTGCCCAAGGACATTTCTTCGGCAGGCATCGAGTGTCTCTCTTCGGAAATGTATATGGGTCGAGACTTAGCAAACAAGTAATTAGACTCTTGGAGGAGGAAAAACTTTCTTGTTTGTTTTTTTTTCCTCTCTTGGGCAACTTAACAAGTAAAGAGTGGTAATGATACCCCTTACTCGCCTCACAAACGAGCTGGGAAGAATGAAGTCTGCAAAACACAATGAGACTCCACTGGAAAGAGAGAACTGTTCACCAGGGCGTTCGGGGGACTGTGCACGTATGTGCATGCACCTGTGGGCGGGCAGATGAACTTCCCAGGGAGGGGAAGACAATCAACCTAGGGCAAGGCCCCAGGAGGCCCAGGTGGGCTGGAACCTCCCGCCAGCAGCCTCAGACCCAAAGGGGGTAGTGCCTGCCTCCCCTCGAGATCCCCGTCGCAGCCCACACAGGGGCATCTTCTGCTGTGAAATCCCCTGACTCACAGGCAGCAGTGCCCACTCTGCCAGCCTCCAGCCGGACACCATCTCGTCCCCCCTTCTCCCACCCAGCAACCGCTCCACAGAACAGCACAAGCCAGGCCCAGGTGTCAGGAGCAGTGTCAGAGGAGGGGCCTGTGAGGCCTCGGGACAATTCAGTCTCCATCAGCAGCCCTGGAGGCTGGTGACTTGAGGACAAGAAAATACCACTCCAGAGCCCATAATTAACACTGCCTAGAAGTGGGCCATGCCCTCAGCTTTTCCTGAGCTCTGTTTGTCCCCATGAGGGCTTTCTGGAGAGCTGACACAGAGGAAACTCAGACGCCAGGCTGCCAGGCTCCAGCTCCCCAACTCAGTTCCTCCAGGCACAGAACAGTCGTTTTAGGTGATGCCCAGGGGAGCACCGGAGCACTGTGTCTTTTAAAACGCCAGCATGGGCTGGGCATGGTGGCTCATGCCTGTAATCCCAGCACTTTGGGAGGCCGAGGTGGGTGGATCACCTGAGGTCAGGACTTAAGAGACCAGCCTGGTCAGCATGGTGAAACCCTGTCTCTACTAAAAGTACAAAAAAAAAAAAAAAATTAGCCAGACGTGGTGGTGGGCACCTGTAATCCCAGTTACTTAGGAGGCTGAGGCAGGAGAATTGCTTGAACCCAAGAGGCGAAGGTTGCAGTGAACTGAGATTGCGTCACTGCACCCCAGCCTGAGCAACAGAGTGAGATTCCGTCTCAAAAAAAAAAAAAAAAAAAAAAGCAGTGTGAACAGCCCAAAGCCTCTGGGCTCTGTGTGGAGGCCGTGCTTCTGCAGCTGTCCCTTTAGGTTACTCTTCTGGGATGGAACTGACGCTTGGGGGTGTGGGGGGAGACAGAGGAAGAAAATTGTCAGGCCTAAAATAAAAGTGACTTTTCCATCTGTGTCGTGGAAGAAGCTGTTAATTCACTACCGTTCTCCTGGCACCCCTTACATGGAATTGGAAATCCATACACATCCCAAGAACCTCTTCGGCCTGTGGAAGTGCCAGCCTCGGCTCCAAGACCAGGCTCCTGCCCCACTTCTGGGCCTCCCTCGTGCCCCCCTATTCTCATCCTGGGCCTTAGGGCTTTGGCAGCAGGAGATGGAGTCTGCAGGCTCTGTTCTTATTCTCCCCAACCCCCACATCAAACAGCGAATGAGCTTTGGTGGGTGGCTGCACTGGGAGGGCCAAGCAGCACCATCTGCCTGAGTTCTCGCTCTCTGAACCCGAGATACCATAGGAGGAGGGGAGGTCCCCATCAGCCTTAATGGCAAGGGGCCAGGAGGCTGGTTCCTAAAGGAAAGCAAGCTACCCACCCCACTGAGTCCCATCCTAACTGGAGTACAGGCCTCACAATGTTTACGGGAGGCTTAAAATCCAATTCTTTCGTATCCTCCCCGATCTAATCACTTATCTTCCTGCAGCACTTTTGTACTTAAATTTAAACTTGTTTCAATATTGCCAGCTTTAGTCAATTAGCTTTAGCTTTAGTCATTTCAACTGTGCATTCACTCAGCAAATGGCAAGCAAACACCAGGTGCCATTCTAAATGCCGGGGACCCAGCGGTGAACAGAACAAAGCAGCCCTGCTCTCAGGGTGCTGGCGTTGGGTGGGGGACATGCAACACACACACGAAAGATACATACACACAATGATGCCGGTTGGCATCCGTGGCTTGGAGGAAGGGTGGTCAGGGGACGCTGGAGCACCGAGGGACTTGGGGAGCCTGGCAGAGACCTGAGGCCAGGGAGCACTGCTGTCTTCTAGGTTGAGCAAGGAGCCCAGGGTGCTGGAGGGGGTGCAAGGCCCAGGGGCTAGGAGTGAGTATGGAGAGGCAGGTGGGGGAGAGAGAGAGGCAGATCAGCCGTCCTGGAAGACTGGGGCAAGGACCAGGGATGAAGAGAAGCCACAGGACTTGAAAACAGGGAGTGTCATAATGAAAGGGAGCCAGGTCCTCAACAACAACAACAAAACAACAAAATCCTCGATCCCCAAACTATGGCATGTCCGTTTCTGATTTTAAAAACATGCACATTTTGTTGCTCCTGATGACAGTGTGAGCGCAGGATGCAAGCAGACCGGCGTTCTCTCAAAGACTGACGCTGCCTCTCCCTGTGAAAACCGTG